TAATAACGCCACAATAATCTAATGGGTATTTTTCATTATGTACTGGTTAGGAAATATTTGCTTTTTTCGTTTTTTATTAAGAAAAATAAACTCCCATTAGTATAATAACTTCATTCTTCGACTTTTGCTTTCGATTTTCTGCTATGTTAGCACGAAATTCTCATAATATATTTTCGATTTTTAATATAGAGATATAAATTACAAATTCTTAAGTTACAATTGTTTGTCAATTATAATTTTCATATTTGCTTTTGCATTATAAAGTTAATTATAGTTTTTATAATTGTAATTTATTATACAGTTTAATTCACATAATCTTTAGAATTTGGTGGTTCTAAATCAATAATTCAACTATTTCAACTAATATTCATATTTCTTTTATATTTTTAAGTGATGTGCATCTTTAATTTATATTTAGCTTATAATTTATAATAATTGTAATTTTATTTAAATTTTAAAATTGTAATTAAATTCCAAATGTTAATATAACTGATATAACTTGTAATAGAAATTTTTATTTAATTCACAATTAAAATTACGATGTTTTGTAATAATAATAATAATAATAATAATAATAATTTATTTCAATTTATTTGGTTTTATAATATATAGGAAAAGGGAATTTTCACCTTTTTTTATTTTCCCTTGTATTAGGTTTATAAATTTAATAAATAATTATGTTCTTAACTCTTTAGTGGAACTTATGTATGTTACATAAAAAATAATAATTATTATTTCTCATAATTTATCAACAAAAATTCTATTAAATTTAAAAATAAAAATTTCAAGTCTACTCTAATTTGAATAATGCGAATATTTTTGAATGGAACTTGTACTTTTCATTCTTTTTCGAAAAGAAATCATAAATCCAAAAGAAATTTCAAAATTATCAAAAATAATTCTCGAACAAAAACTTAGAAATTTAAATATTCCTTTTTTTCGAATTAAAAAAGTAGTAACAATAAAACAAGTATTTGTGACATTTATCTATTATTATAAATATAGATAAAATGAAAAAAAATTCAGTAGTCATAAATGAAATTTTTTTTTCAAATTCTAATTATGACTATTTTCTTTATCATGTAACAAAAAGGGAAGAATATTATTATCTATTTATTTTTCTTCTCATCAGAAATCGAATCATCATGAAACGTTCGTCACGAGAACGAAGTAACTACTATTGCAGAATGCTATATACGAAACGGTTAAAACCTGTCCCCCCACTTTATCGCCACCTGTAGATCTCTCGAGTCACAAATGTTCCCGTTACTTTATCCCCTACTCGCAGAACTTGTATAATGAGACTCTGTCCGTTTTGGAGGGGAGAAAGAGAGAGAACCAACATACAGGTAAGTGACCCACTAACCTTGATAAAGAAAGTCGATGATGATGGGGAGGAACGAAGGCCAATGGCAAACGCGGTTGATACCCTCTCCGTATAACGACACACTAACCTTCTTCCTACTATACGAGAAGTTCTCACCTCCCACCATACATTTTCTATATAGCTCTCAACTATTACCACCACCAAACATTATTTAATTCCTGCTCGCCACCTTCTTTTCACTCCTACCAATTTCTCCTTTCATTTTCCCTCTCCACTTCTCCTTTTCTCTCTCTCTCTCTCTCTCTCTCTTATATACATGACCCTCTTCCTATGTTTTTCGCCGAATCCATTAACTACCTACGAACATATGGGTCATCGGCCTTTTATGTTGGCATCATATGTGAGATAAAACTTTAAAAATTAAAATAAAACTAACTATTTTGAGGATCTATTATTATTATATTATTATTATATTATTATTATTATTGTTATTAGCTACATGGTATTAGGATTAAGGGGCACTTATGGTTACAACAGGAGACAAATAATTTTTTTTTTTTGGTCATAATGTACATTGTACACAAATATTCTTTTTTAATGAGAACATTTTTTTCGGTGTGATTTTAATTCATGTAATTAATTAATTATTTTTTATGGAATATATTTATTGAAAATTGGTTGTCTTATCGAAATTGACCTTATCTACTTAAAACGAGAAAAATTTAAAGTATTTCAAAAGCTACTAGTTTGACATACAGGGTGTTCCAAAAAGTATGGAAACTTCCAAATATCTCGAAAAGTATGAATTTTTGTAAAAAATGTTCAAAACAAAAGTTGTTCCAAACAATCCAAAAAATGTACATCTTTGAAACCAAAAAATTGGGCCCGGAGCCCAATGTTGGACCCTACAATGAAAAAAGTGGTTTTCTTAAATGAGACCACTAATTTTCAGTATCAAATTCGTAATCCCCATGAAATTCTGCGTTCAGACATGTGGTATAAGTGCCCAAAATATTGGGTCCAATCAACAAATAAATAAATTTTTAAAAATCGCATCTTGGAGGGATTTTGACATCACAGGAATAGAAATTGGAAGCTAATTTTCAAATTGAGCATAGAGCCCAATGTAAGATTCCGCCGCCCAATGTCAGGCCCACGGTAAAAAAAATTAGTTGTCTTAAAAATAAAACCCATTAATTTTCAGTATCCAATTCGTAATCCCCATAAATTTCTTGGGTTAGACTTGTAGTAAAAATGACAAAAATATTGGGCCCAATGTCTCGGATTAGGCCCATCATTTTTCGTTAAATAAATAAATTTAAAAAATCGCATCTTTAGGAGTTTTTGAGATCACAGGATTAGAAATCCGAAACTAATTTTCAAATTGTACACAAAGCCCAATGTAAGGCCCACATTAAAAAAAATTAGTTATTTAAATAAAATCCACTAATTTTCAGTATCCATTTCAGAATCGTTATGAAATTCTGGGTTTTAATTTGTAGTACAAAAGCCAAAAAATATTGGGCCCAATGTCTGGGATTGGGCTCGACATTTTTTGACAAATAAATAAATTTATAAAATCCCATCTTTTGGAGTTTTTGGGGTGACAGGATTAGAAATTCAAAGCTACTTTTCAAATTGGGCACAGAGCCCAATATAAGATTCCGCAGCCCAATGTGAGGCCTACAGTAAAAAAATTAGTTTCCTTCCATTTCGTAATTGTTCTGAAATCCTGGGCTTAGACTTGCGGTACAAATTCCAAAAATATTGGGCCCTCACATTGGGCTGCAGAATCTTACATTAGGCTCTATGTTCAATTTGAAAATTAGCTTCCAATTTCTAATCCTGTGATCTCAAAATCCCTCCAAGATGCGATTTTTTAAAATTTATTTATTTGTTGATTGGACCCAATATCTTGGATTGGACCCAATATTTTGGGCACTTAAACCACACTTAAACCACACTTAAACCACAACCATACGAATTTGATACTGAAAATTAGTGGTCTCATTTAAGAAAACCACTTTTTTCATTGTAGGGCCCAACATTGGGCTCCGGGTCCAATTTTTCGGTTTCAAAGATGTACATCTTTTTGTTTGGAACAACTTTTGTCCTGAACATTTTTTACAAAAGTTTCCATACTTTTGGAACACCCTGTATACTTTACTATCAAAAATCGATTGTCTTAACGAAACTGACCTTATCTACTTAGTACTTAAATTTAAACGGTTAGAGTAGGTATTGCAAAAAAAATATTTTTTAAAAATCAGTTGCCTTATCAAAACTGATTTCTTCTACTTAGAAATTGTCAGAGGAGAATATTCTAGTATTGTCGAGAAAGTTATTGGAAAATTGACTTGACAAATTATCTTACTTTAAAAAAAGTAAGAATTAAAATACTTTTGAATTACAAAATCTAAAAAAATCTATTGTCTTACCAAAACTAAACCTTATCTACCTAGAAATTTTTAATTCGCATGTGTAGTTATAAAAAATAATTTTAAGTTATGTTTAAAATAAAATGAAAATTTTGAAAAAATTGTTTAATTGTATACTTTACCTCAACTACAATTTTTAAGTAGATAAGGTCAATTACATTGAGACAACTGGTATACTACTGATTATTAAAAACTGCAACTTTGTTTTACTAAACAATATGTAAAAACTAAAAACACAGATAATTAGCAGTAAAAAATTATTTTACCCCACTGTTTATGTAAATAATTTATCTAAAATTAACTTTACGCTAAATGACATAATGTTTATAAAATACAAACAAAGGAAACATAAAAAAAATGTTATCCTATTTTACAATATTAAGTGGAAAAATGATGATTATAGTCAGACATTGAATTACTTGTTCATTTCTTAATAAACAAATTCTAGAAGTAAATTAGAATTATAAATAAAAGAAAAAATTTAAAAAATAAGAGCAACTGTTTTTGAAATTTCAGTAGGAAAACCGGTATAGTTAAACATTATATATTTTTATTGATTTATTAATTTTATTTTACTATGTTTTAATTAATAAATTGTGAAAAAAATAATACAAATTTGAAAAATATATAAAAAGGGATTTTTAAAAAATTTAGTAGAGAATGTAGAGAACAAATTGTTCCAATAATTTGAAAAAATTTTACATAATGTAAAACTTTACTTTTTTAAATAAATAAATAAATAATAGAAAATTGAAGATGTAATGGTTAAGATAAGAAGTTATTTATAGTCAGATTTATCTCATTAGAAAAGGTTATTAACTCAGTAGAAAAAAAAATCAGTTTCACTCAAACACATAACTAAATTGATTATCCACTTATTTTCAAACAAATGAAAAATAAATAAAAATCTAATTATTCACAATTTTTCATGTCCAATCAAATTGAGATCCAGAAACATCTTTTAGATGTTTTTTTTCAGCTTCCATACAAGAAAAAAAAATCAAAAGAATTTTTTAATTGTAATCAATAAATCATTACACAATAACTGTCAGACATCTACATAACTGTAAACAGTAAATCTAAATTACATATATTATATTATAATGTCCAGGTGAATAATGAGCGGAAGTTACAAAAAAAAATGAGTAATAATTTATTGAATGAGAATACAGAAAATAAATAATAATTTTCCAATGAATAATGACGAGGTGAATGAAAAAAAAAAGAAGTGCATCTCTGTGAATTTTTTGTTCACTTTATTAAGGTACTTCCTGATAAGGATATTGCTCGCCGGCTGGATAATCAGGAGACCATCCTCTATATGGTTGATTGATTTCCTCTTGTGACCTATGCCAGTGATCATGATAGATGTCATGGGGTTTCACTACTCCGTAACTGATCCTAGTAGACAAAGGTGGCGGTGGTGTGAGTAGTGCTTTCAAAGCAACTGCACCCGATAATAAAAGAGCCATCAGACCTGCTCCAAGACCTTTGATTCCAATGAGGCCAATTATCGTGATTATAATGGGTAGAATAATCAATGCCTTCAGCTTCAGTGCCAATAGAAGTGGCAGCAGGACCCTTTTCAATTTTGTTCGGGCTGAAAGACAAAGCAATTTATACATGTTAAATGTGTGTTCATTATTTTGAATAGACGTGTCATTTTAATTTTAATTATTTATTTAAATTTATAATTTTAATTTTTTTGTTTAAAATTATTTTTATTTTATAAGAATTTATTTTGTCTCTTTTTTTTGGAGCCAATATGGCGTCAAAAAAAATTTAGAAAATTGACTAGATTTGCATAAAAATGTTTCCTTTAGGGTTTTTGGGGTCGCTAAATCCAAATTTGAGGGCAGATTTATAAAATTCAAAATGGCGGACCAATATGACGGAAAAATTTAAAATTGATTCGATTCATTTAAAATTCGGTACTCGGGGGATTTTGGGGTCGCTGAATCCAAATTTGAGGTCAAATTTAAAAAATTCAAAATGGCAAACCAATATGAAGGAAAACTTTAAAATTGATTCGATTCGTTCAAAATTCGGTATTGGGTTTTTTTTTTTTGGAGTCTATGAATCCAAATTATGAATTTGTTAAATCTGACCTCAAATTTGAATTCAGCGACCCCTTATAATAAAAAACATTGGAATTAGAATTAAAATAAAACTAACAATGCAAAATCAATCCTAATTAACCTCAAAAAACAGTTTTGTAAAAAGAATCATGACATTTAAATGACGCAACAATGTTAATTAAATGTATTTCTCATTAGTATAAAAACAATTGAATTAATACTAAAATAGAAAATCGACATGAATTTATTGCTAAAAATCGTCTCTTTTCATATCTCGTGAAATTATAAAAATAAATCTCAAAAAATTTTTACAAAAAAAGCATTCAATGCTTCAATCTAAAAAAAAAATATATAATACATTAAAACGATTTCTTCACCTCTGGGCAAGGAAATAAATTACATGAAAAAAAATATGCGACAATTGACCCTCCCCTAAAAAAAAAAAAAAAAAGACGATGCTTCTTCGTGGGACTTTCTTTGCGGAGAAAGTGAAGATACCAAAGAACGTCGATTATATTATCCTCATGTTTTTCTGGGAAGCTTGAAATTAGTATTCGTGTCAAGTACATCCGAGCGAAATTCTGTTTCTTCTACTACTTAGAAAAATATTTCTCTCTCTCTCTTTTTTTTCTCTTCTTGTCCTTCCACGCACTGAAAAAGGTATAATTTAGGTTTAAGATTTTGGACATATTTTTGGTGGTGTTGAGGAGGTGTGCCACATTGATTAAAAAAAAAAAAAAAGAGAAAAGGAAAAAAAGAAGAAGAAGAAGAAAAAGGAAGAAGTATTAGGTTTGCGTATATGTCCTCGAGCCTACTTTCTTCGAATGTCGGCATTCTCTTTCAAGGTCTTTTCCCCATTGGTTTCCCTCCATACTACGTGTCCCAGATAAATCGAAATCCTCCTTCGTCCCTATACCCGAAGGCGCGCATTGACCTCCTTCGTGAAATTGATGTTTGCCCTTTCTCCTTTTCAGCTTCCCGACCAGTTGACGGATCTAAAGAAGTGGCACACGACATTACGGCTTTTTGCTCCCGAAACTTTCGGCTCGAATATTATACGACCGATTCACTATATATATATATTATATATATATATATACTATAATGGTAATTCGATATGCTTTTGCAGGTAAAATGCTTCAATGATTCTTCTCAAGAATTTTATTTCATTTTTTTTTTCTTTTTTTCTAAATCACATATGAAGTGTGAAGTGTGTGAATTTTTGTGAATAGAAAAAAAAGTAAGAAAGAAAAATGCGTCACACAAACATACAGGAAGAAATTTTTAAATGAAAGGTGCCGTTTGACCAATTGGGAAGTAGGATAATGTTTGGCATACTTTTGCGCCTATGCGCTTTATCGTGAAAGACCCACTTGATGCCGATTGGTGAGGGATTGGAAAGGAACGTTGCTATAAAATTATGCCACGCGGACAACGTTGTCACTCCAGTTTGGAACTGCAGCGGGCAAGGCCAAGGATCCTTTATATGATCACCTTGAAAAGTCGGAAATACAAATTGGAGATCGAAGATAAATGCGCGCCTTTTTGATCTTCCGCGCAAATAATATTTTCGATCTCAAGTATTCTTTATATTTCATTTTGAATTTCATTTCGATATTCTGAACTTCTTTATCAGCTCACGCTGTTAGTATTGTGTTCTAATTTCCATTTTAATAATTTTTAAATACTTTTTAAAATTTGTCTTTTAATTTATACTCTTCTTTTAATTTACATCTTATTTAATTTTATTTTATTATAATTATTTGCAATAATATGTATTTTTCTAGACTTTTCAATTTTAATTATTTTTCAATTTCCATCACTTTTTAATTTTTAATTTTTATTATGCTTTTTCATTTTTGTACAGAGCACATTTTAATGACATTTTTTTAAATTAAAATATTTTTTAATTTTTATACCTTCTCATCAATGCTGATCATTTATAATAATTTTCATCATTTTTTAAATTTAATATATAATTTTTTTGATAATTATTTAATTTTGATTCTTTATCAATTTTAATCACTCTCTAATTTTCATAATTATCTATAATTTTAATAATTTGATTGTCTTGTTGACTTCTAAATTTTTATTAGTTTCTTATTTTAATAATTTGATAATTTTTATCATTTTGGTAATTTTGATGATTTTTGATAATTTTGAAAATTTTCTAATTTTGATTCATTACAAATTTTGATAATTATCTTATTTTCACTTTTTTCTTATATTGATCATTTGCTAATTTTTATAACTTTTCATTAATATTGATCATTTTTCATCATTTTAATTAACAATTCACAATAATTAATTGAAAAAAATAACATTAGTAATAATAACATTAATAACATTAATAATACACTTAAAAAAAAATTATTTGATTCAAATAATCGGTTACTTGACTATTATCAAATAAATATTTAGTTGTGTCAAATAATTATTATTTGAATCATTTAAATGGTATTTTTTTCAAAAACATAAATTTTTGTTTCAAATACAATTTATTTAATTCAAATAAAAATTATGTGGTTCAATGAGAATATTTATTTGATAATAGTCAAGTAACCGATTATTTGAATAAGAGTTTTTTTTTAGTGTAACATTAGTAAATAATTGTATAAATTTTACCTTACTATTTTATTGATTTCAATGGTGCGATTAGTTTCATTTTAAAAGTTGAAATTTTTTAAAAGTATTTCTAAATTTAATTTTGTAATTATTTTAATTAACTATTTAGGTAAATTATTTTAGTATCGCATTAATTATAATAAATATATATATAAATTTAGCAATTGCAATAAAATTTAATATTATATTGTGTTTAATGTTTTTCGTTTTATCAACACAAAAAATTATTAATTAAAATTAATTAATTAAATTAATTTAATTATTAACTAAAAACTAAATATTCACCATATAGATATTAATTAATATTTCCAACTTTATTTTTAAATACAACCAAGTGCTAAATTAAAAATTTTATTAATAATTAATACTGTTACCAATTATATAATAGTTAGGGTTATCAATAAATTTTTTTGAAATAAAAATTTTTCAAATATCACATACATAATTAGCATTAACTAAAATATATAATATTTAATAAAAAAAATTATATATAATAAAAAAATAAAATGTATATAAAAAAATATATATATAATAAAAATATAATTAAATATATACTAGAAATTGTTATTATCTTAAAAATTTTACGTATAAAGTTATTTGCGCTCTATTTCATTAATAGTCTTACATTGAAGTGGAAAAATCATTGAAATGAAACTGATACTAGGCTCCCTTCCTTCATAACATTGTGAAATGTAATTAGGCTGATATGAAAACTTTTCACATATTCACATAGATTATATGATAATTACTGGAAATAATAGAGAAATTAACCTTCGATGTTTTTGCGCTAACCCAGTTACCGATAATAAAGGCAAATCAAATAATTAGTTCAAGATGATAAATTTCCTAATTAGTTCAAAGTCCATCAATGAAATTCGACTCTTGGTAAAATGTTAGCAGCTAATTAATATTTTTATAAAAATAATTATTTTTTACTAATTCACAATTATTACAAAAAAAATAATAATTTCTAATAAATTCATTTTTAAATATACTATATTTATCTGCATATATTTTTGCTCTTAAGATCAATTAAACATTAAATGTATTCAAAAATTTAATTATCCTTCAAATTTACACTAATAAATAAAAAATCTCTTTATTTACTACTTTTAAAAAATATTGTATATTAATTTAAAAGATTACTAAGACTAAATTAATGAACAAATTAATAAAGAATTAATGAAAAAATCATTTAAAAAAGAGTTGTAACCGAATTAATATAAAAATTAATTATCTAAAATAAGTTACATGAAAATATAAGTAAGAACATATTACACAAAAACGAAGAAAAAGTATATAAATTAAATTGGTTAAAATTTATTGTAGTTATACAATTTAATATTTATAATGAAGATATTGTAAAATAATGATATGAAAAATAACTTTTATTTTACATAATATAACTATTAAAAGTATAATCTAGTTTCTCTGCGTAAGATGTGTTTTAATTATTACGTATAAATGCAAAAGGATATGAACTTAGTAGACCAAAAGAGAATTCCAAATAGACATAAATTTTCATGTAACACTTGTGTTCTTATGCAGCGTAATAATAAGATGTTCGCGCTCATCTTCTTATAAAAGTTTACATCTTTTTTTTGGTTTCAAATTACATGCCTGTCGTATTCGAAAATTTTACTACCCATTTCTTTTTAAAGTAGACGTTTTTCAATTAACTTTTCAAGCCCACGAGAGAGATTTTCACATTAAAAAATAAATATATGCCTATCTCATCAGTAAACTAACAGTAAACGAATTCATTTTTAAATTTCATATGAAATTGATCCTTGTCGAGTCCACGTGCTCAATCAAAAAAAATAAATTGTCATTTAAAAAAATATATATTTTCTATCAAAATGAGATTTAATAAAAAAATGTTTATAAAATAAATTATTTTGAAAATTAAAGAAAAGAAAATTAAATCAGTTTCATTAATTTCGATTAGTTTAATATAATTTACCTTCAAAAGTACCGTGAGTCAGTTCACGTAGTTGAAATTCAATATTTTTCTCGCCAAGAGCACGTCCTAGGAAATCAACGGATGATCCATCATTTGGAAATGAGATTTGAATTTTCCTACTTCTGAGGAATTCATCAATCCTCCTCACCAAGGGATCGCGAGTTTCATTTTCTTCTTTAACTTCTTCTTCTTCTTCTTTTTCATCAACTGAAATTTTTTCAAGACTAATCATATTTCCATAAATACTGATAGATTCCTGTTTATTGAGCTGATCCATTTCTTCCGTCAATTTTGTTTCCATTATTTCTAAATTTTTCAAATTTGAAACTTTCACGGGATTCGACATCACCATTGTGCCGAGACACAAAGAAATCACTAAGATTTTCATGTTTCTTTTTGTTTAAAAAATTTTTTCTTATTAAAAAAAGAAATTATTCACGTTTATAAAAAAATAAATTTTTGTTTTTTACAATCGAATTCTCAACAGCGGCGAACAATTTTTGACTGTTTTTGCCCCCCGGCAATTTTTCTTTATATATCTCCGTTAAAGAAGTCATGGTGGGGAATTTGTGAACCATTTGGCAAACTTCGTATGGAACATAAATGTTTTGAATTTTAATGTCTCGTATTGAAGGCGCAATGCATTTAAAATTCATTGACATTGCGTGACGTCTGGCTCTCTGTGACAATTTTCCTTTTTAATTCAGATCACTTTCAACCCTTAGTTGAAGATAATTATTTCATTCTTTACTACGTAAAAAATATAAAATTTCTACAAGATAAATTTTAGGATAAAAAAATTTTTTAATCAATTAATTTTAATTATAATAAATAATTAAAATTTTTATTACAATATAGATATAGTAAATGAAGAATTCAATTTTCATTTTATAATTGATGTACATATTCTGACAATTAATTTTCCATAATGAGAAGATGATTTGAAGGGATTCTGCTTGTCAGATTTCATAGCGAGAGTCATATAATATTTAGTTATAATTGGAGGCACAAATTGAGAAATATCCGGTTTACAAAAATTTCAACATTCACTCATTCTTGATCGATATGTAGATATCGTTTCTGACTTTCAGGCGAGAATTAGTTTTCCTCGTTCGTCGTGACACGGTATGGCATGCAAAGCTGTGGCCCAAATTTCGTTTAAAAAAAAAAAAAAAAAAAAAACAAGAGCCAAGTTGACAATAATGGAAAGAGTTGCAACGGAAGAAGGTAAAATGAACAAGAATGGAACAAAGAAAAAAAAGAATCACACGGAATTCGTATGTTTAATATCCAATTTGAATCACATATGAGCTTCTTTTCAAATGTTGGAAATTTTGTCACCTCATTATTGAAACTTTTCACGTATTTCACATTTTTTTTGTCCTTTTCAAAAATACTGCATTTAGTAAAAAATAATTTTTTAATTAGCTGTAAAAAGAAGAAAAGAAAAAGCAAAACTGAAATATTAATCAGCAAAAGTAAAACAAAATCAAAAATAAAAAGAAAAGACAAAAAAAAGAAATTAAAGTAATGAGGAAATAAGAAAGCATTAATAAAAATTAACAAATATAAAACAAAGGAAAATAAGAAGAAAAGGGTAACTAGTGAAGAAATAACGAAACTGAAATATGAATTAAAAAACTAGTGAAGAAATAAACAAAGCCGAAATATATATTAACAAAGATGAAACAAATAGGAAAATATATAGAAAATATAAAAGTTATGAAGAATTTAAAAAAAAAACTAAAATATAAAATAGCAAATATAAAACAGAAAAAAAACTAGTGAAGAAATAACAAAGCTAAAATATATTAGTAGCAAACATGAAACAAAAAGGAAAATAAAAAGAAAAGATAAAAGTAATGAAGAAATAAGAAAACTAAGATAATAAATAAACTAGTGAAGAAATAATAAAACTGAAATATAAATTAACAAACTTGAAACAAAATGTGAAATAAAAGACTAAAAAGAAGAGATAAAAGTAATCAAGAAATCAGAAAACTAAAATATAAATTAGCAAATATAAAACAAAAGAAAATAAGAAGAAAAGAAAACTAGTGAAGAAATAACAAAGCTGAAAAATATTGTTAGCAAACATAAAACAAAAAGTAAAATAAAAAGAAAAGATAAAAGTAGTGAAGAAATAACAAAACTGAAATATAATTCGCCAAAGATGAAACAAAAAGGTAAATAAAACAAAAGAAGAATAAAAATCAGTGAAGAAATAAAAAAAATCAGCAAACCATATTACAAGAAAACCAATTAAAAAACATGTTCCCGATGACGTAAACAATAAAGCACTCAATTTTTGGTAAAAATTTAATAATTTATTTGACACAGTGATACAAAATAATTTAGAAATAAATTATACAGTTGATGAGATAATTTATATAAATACATTATTAAACCTAGCAGTCGAGTTGTTCCAAGAGTGAGGAATTGATTTTCTCGGAACGAGAAGAAGATGATGTTTTTTTTTGCAATATGCATAAAATGAAATTAATTGGTCTCATTGGTAACTGGTGATTGAGCGGCGTATGCCAAATTGTGTGCATCACCCTTGGTCGTTCCATCGAAACTTCTCCTATAGTATCCTTGTCCTTGAGCTGAGGCACCGCTCCATGCAGCTTGATTATTTTGTCCATCATACCATCCACCAACGGGTTGTGAAACTTTGCCAAATAATCCACCACCAACTCCTGCGCTGGCTCCAAACATTTTTTGGAATGCCAAAACAGCCGCCAAAAGTAATGCAATTTTACCGACAACAATTGCCTTGAATACAAGGAGTGCCAATCCACCGAAAAGAATTGGAACAAGAGCAATCAATTTCAATGCAACTCCTGCCACCAAGGGGAGGACCATTTTCTTGATTTTGCCACGACCTGCGGAAAACAATAATTTATCATTAGAATTTTCTTTTTTTTTTTTTTTAAATAAAAATTTGTATTTTATTTATTTAGAAAATATAATGAAGATGTGAAAGCAAAATTTGGAAAAAAAATTAAAAGCAAATCAAAGAAGAAATGTTATATAAAAAATTTCAACAATCCAAATCTAAATTATGTAAATTCATAAAATTTGATAATAAATTTAGTTCAATATTATAATTTACAAGTGAATTTTTCAATGAGGAAGAGCGATTATTATTAATAGAGATAAACTTTCACGCGTGTGGGTTGCGGAATGGAAAGTAAATTATTGTCCTGGATCTTGATCTTGTAAATAAAAATAGGTAATATGTTTAAAAGAGAGGCCACGTGGATAGGCTTTTTATTGATATGAAGAAAGTGAAAAGGCGTCACCCTCGAAGAAGGAATTCAACCGGAACAGGTTCAATGGATACAAGATAGGATTATTCTCAAAGAGAAGGAGAAAGGCGCGGTCGTTGTGTTTCTTTTTCACGTGTGACGTGTGTATTCTTATTGACGTCAATTCACAGGATGCAGCAAGTCGCCGGAGGAATAAAAATGATTGTGTAATAGGACTTGTCTCTTTCTGATACCAAAAAAAAAAAAAAGAAAAAAAAATCTCACTTTCTGAATGAATTCAGGAAAAGTCGCGCAACAAATGAGAAAGATCCTGAAGAATTATTATATACATCAATGTTACGTGAAATTAATTTCTCTCGTAATGCCACGTCATTCAGAAAGCGAAGTTTCAATATATTCTGAATTAATTGCAATCGAAATTTTAATTATTTAATTTTTGTGCGTTTAAAATAATTAAATTTTTAAATAATTTATACAATTAATTATAACTTATTTGGTTATTATTAAATTACCAAAATTTTACTCATTAAGAAACCTAATGAATTTTTTAAAAATTAATTTACCCCTTTTTTTGCTTTTTATTATAGAACTCAAAACGATTTTTCAAAAAATCTTACCTTCAGTAATGGCACGGGAGACGGATTCCTCGGACATGTTGACTTTCAATGTGTGAGATTTGAAAAATGCCATTGCAGATTCGAAGAGCATGTTTGCTAATTTCAAGGTCTTGTCGGTTATATCACGTGGAAGTTCATTCAAAACGTCGGATTCCGACTTGAGAGACTTTCCATTTCGTTCCACTGGAACTGAAATTATAATTAATTATTATAGACGAGTGTTTCATTAAATTCTTCTGTATACCAAATAAAAGGAAAATTAAATTATCAATTTACAATTGTCTCATTATTTTCGTTTCTCTTATTTCGAAAAAAAAATCACAACTTTGCCCGAAAATTTAAATCCATTGTCATATAAATATTTTTTAGGACATTTTTAATATAAAAAATTTATTATTCATATTAAATTTTAAAATAAATTTCAAAAAATTACTTCCAAATTAAAATCTTTTTTTAACTTTTCAAAAGTACTCATCGACAAATATAAAGAATTTATTTTAACTCTGATTTGATATTCTATTTTTTCTATAATAAATTTCTCGGCTTCTGATATTAAAAGAAAAAAAAAAGAGAATCACCGCTTTTACGACTATTAAAAATTTTCAGGTTATTATGGAAATTGAACAGTCAAAAGTCCCGCAATATGAGACAACTTGTTCTTTTTTTTTTCTAATGTCCTTGAGAGAAGCTCGTAAAAAAATTTAACGAAGAATGGTTTTTTCTTATTGAGGAAAAGAAATAAACCGTAAGCTTCGAATGAATGATGTGATTTTAAGGCAAATTTCTAATACGTAAAGTTTGCCTGTCATTGTCGATTCTACGAATAGTAAACAAGTTTTACATGTACATGGCTTTTAGCGGTGTTTGACTATACCCCGAAAAAATAAAGAAAAGAAAAATGTGACACTACTAACAATAAATGAAATGTGAATATTATTATTAGTTATGCGGTTTAACTGTATATTACAATTGCGCGTATACTCAATTCGTTTATATTCCAATGTCGTTCACAATTTTTTATTCTATGCAAATGATGACGACAACCGGAATTTTGACTTTCATTACAATAATTGTCTGTTTACTCGGCCTCAATCACTTGAAATTGAAAATTTGCCATTTTAACTAGAGAAGAAAATTCATTTTACAATTAAGGATTTTTCTGAAAAAAAATTAAAAAGCTTTTTTTCTGATACATTTTTAATGGAGAAATTACTTTTTCCTTAATTTTCATAAATTTTCTTTGACATTAATTCAAATTTCCCCACCGGAACAAAATTTTTTGAACAAATTATTTAAAAATTAAAATTTTTCTTTACGAATTGAAATCAATGGAAAAATAATGAAAAATCATAAATTAGAATAAGTTAAAAAAATTTAGAAGAAACACTGGATTTGTTTTTTAATTTTTCTTTTTCTTTTGTTTTAAAGAACAATCGGACAAACAATTGTAACAAAAGTTAGTCCTACTCCATATTCTCGAAACTTTAAATAAAATAACAATTTCAAATTATTTGAATATTTTTTAACATTTAACATAATTAAAAGTTGAATTTATTCAAATGAAACTTTTGTTGATTCAAAGTACATATTAAAAATAAATTTTTTCACACTTTTACTGAAAACTGAAAATTAAAAATTATTATATTTTTTATTTAAAAAAAAATGAAAATCTATAGATGGTGTTACTTTTCTTTTAATTTTTTCATCTGCTAATCCAAATTTTTATTTGTTTGATATTTGTTCACTTAGTGTCACACAAAAAATTGGGGTTACAAAATCCACAAATAGGGTGAAAAAAAAAAATTTTTTTTTCTCACCATTAGCATCCCTGACGAATTTAACTCCATCGATGAGTTGAATGTCGCTGGATCTCGCGGCTCTTGTGAGAGCATTTGAAGCTTTAATTGCAAGACAACTGAAGAGATCATCATCAAGTTGTAGGCAATCCAATTTTGGAACACCCTCAACTGCTCCAGCTTCCGGTGCTGGGACTGCAGCCACTGCCGCGACAACGAAACCAACAATAAAAAACTTATACATTTTTGTTAATTGATTTTTTTTTTTTTTTTTTAATTTTTAATCACTCAGTTCTTTGATGAACTGTCACTCCAATGAACGTTCGGAAAATTTTCGGAGCTGTGTGACCTGGCCATGGCTGGAGCTTGAATCTTTATAGGAGTTCCTGAGGTCCCTATGACCCCCTCTCTATACCATCTTGACGTGTGACAAACGCACACGCACACATACACATACTTATGATCGGGTACACTCATCTCTTCACGTGTCTACTCAAACGTTGAAGATATACCTCCCCAGATAACTTTCATCGATAATTTTTTAAACAAACGATCGTAAGTCGCGTTTCGATTGGGCGGATCCCTTCTGCTCATTTCTTGTTCGAGATTAGGATAGAAATTTTTTTTAGTATTTAGGTCATAAGGGGAAGAAGGTATATTTTAAAATATAGCATTAGGAATTTTTTTTTTAGTCGCAGTATCCTGAGGTCATCAATTCCTTGTATATTTTAAATTATGATGGACGTTTCAAATTCTCTACCATTGAATATATTCTTCTAATTGTTGAGACTATAAATATATCTATTGAGTTCTCTTATAATGCCTTTCGCCTTCAATTGAAAGTGACTACATTTTTTTTGCCTATCATCCTTTTTTTCATTTTTTTTTTTTTTTGATATTAAAGTATTTATTGTCTTTTCTTCTTGTATCATTTATTTTAAATTCAATAAACTGTTGATAAACCAGTGCAAATTATTAGCCATCCTATTAATTTCTTCGTTTAGTATATTACTATCTTAGTTTGCTTTAAGGATGTTTTAATATTAAACATAATTTAAATTTAAAAATACTTTTATGCAGAAAAAGAAGCTATATTTATTTTTATCATTTTCATGAAAAGAAAATTTCAAATATATATGATATTCAAGAAGTAGTAAAAGATAAATTATTGTTATCAAGTCACCATGGCTGCGTGGTAACTTACATATACAAGTTCCATCTCCAAGGTCCAGGGTTCAATCCCTCATGCGAAGGAAAAAAAATTACTAAATTTAAATTTTATCTGAACCTTAATATCTCTGTAATAATTTGTAATACTCTGTAATAACGTGTAGTACTTAGTAATAAGGGTAATATGAGGTGTATTACCGGTAGTCAAGTGTACACGTTTTTAACTAGTAAATTCCCCCTCGCTAAAATTGAAAACTTTTTTTTAATCAAGGGCCAACGATTTCTAGTTTTAAAAAATGATAACCGGTTCTTTGATCGGGACCCTTAATTGCTTATCATAAATAATTTTAAATCCTGAATAATTCTACGGTTATTCTAGATTTTGAAAAAACTAGAAAAACTCTTTAGCCACAGAGCAGATAATCTTGCCGCACTGATTTCTATTGCTGCGTTACATTTCATGGTAGATACTTCCCAAAATTTCTTGCCAAAATTTATTAATAATTTAAAAGATAATTTTTCTGTCATCACAATAAAAATTTTAAAAAATATTAAAATACAGCATCTGATAATTAAAAAAGTGAAATTTATCATAATTCAATATTTTCTTCTTCTATTTTGTATTTTCGATAATATTATTATTGTCTTTAAACGAAAAATAAAATTCTTAAATTGTTTAATCTATTATTTATCTACATAATCTGATATTCAATATAATTATGGTATAATAAGTTTTTTAATCTTTCAAAATTAAGTGTAAAAAGAGTCAAAATATTTAGCGAAGAATTAAAAATATTTTATTTTCAATAAAATTATAAGAAGCTATTAAATTGAAAATATAAGTATACCTATATAATAATGTATTCAGCTAAAAATTGGGTTCTTAATGGAAGTTCGGATGTTTAAAATATTTTCTATTACGAAGACGTTCTAAATTTTTTGTTTCTTTGATAACAGTTTAAGACTTTAAATCTTTAAAACGTTTAAAAGTACCAAATCACATAACTTTCACTGCGCCCAAATTCCCATTCTGATTTTTTGAAATTCTTTCTACTTTCAATCTTCATGATTTCATCATAATTTAATCTGTAGAATTGAAAATTAAATAATTCGATATTCTATGAATGATAAATTGTCTTGTGTCTTTTTTTTTTGTTGTAAATTTTTACTTTTTTTTATTATTTTTTGACAATTTTTTCTGTTATTCATTTATAATAATAATAATATAATTTTAATTAATTTTATTTTTTCATTCTACTTTGTTTGATTTATTTATATAATTATTTTTTATCATATTACCAATTTAAAAAAAAAAAAAAAAAATACACGAACCCTTGTAAAAAAAGACATTATACATTTAGTTCTAGAAAATTAAAAATCGAAAGACAATTATAGAGATTGAAGAAATAAAATATTTTTTTTCATGGTCCATTGCCTTCTCATCCTTAAACCACAAACACCATTAAATTGTTGTTCACTTTTATAAGTTTTTAAATACCACAGGATAATTACGAAACTTAATGTTACTCTTTTAAGTGATGCTTTTAATCTTTTAAACTCGCTTTTGACCCATATTATATATGCATATTCTATCCAATTGTGTCCAAAACGAAAAATATCTTGGTAATGAGGGAAGTGAAACCACCTCACGTATTATTTCACAATACATCCTAGAAAAAAGAGACTCAAAGTAGCTTAGTTTTTTTTCAACAATGATTAGACACGATTGGAATACGTGTTGTCGTCTTGTCAAAATAAGTGTTGTTGGTAAAATTTTCATTTTAAAAAAATGACAAAAATTCTCTTTCTTTATGTAATATCGGGAAAATAAATTTCATTCTTTATTTTCGAATTTTTTTTTTTTTTAATTTAATTATTTTGATGTCAAATTCAATATTTTTGAAAATTCGCGTTCTTTTTGTCTGTTAATTAAATTAACTCATCTTTTAAAAATTTAATTTATTATTTTATTGCAAATTTTAGGAATTTTAGAATTTAAGATTTTTATTAAAAATTTCAGAAATTTAACAAAATATGAATAGACCTAGAATATTTGAAATACCGCACAGCAACTGAGTTTCGTTATGCGGATGCATTTGCATTATACTAAGACCACACCTGTCACGGTTGATTGTCGACAATAATTTCCACAGTCGGGCGTTGACAGAATAGGTACAACAATAACATAAAAGCTTCCGAATTATCTTGCTACTTTGATTGTAGATACAAAATCCTCGCAAATTTTTAGCAAAAGTTTTTTATTTGTTGTATTTATTTTCAATTCAATGATAATAATTTTTTCATCATTTTAATAGATTAAAAGTAAATGTCTACATTGCTAATTTAATCTACTCAGAACAACTAATTAAATATTAATTATTAAATTAAAAAATTAAATAAACTTATAAATGAATAAACATTTAATTATGATTATAAATTTATTTATTAAGTTTATATATAATAATTATCCTAATTAATTAAGATTGACTAATTTACAAATTTTTTTTTAAATTAAAAAATTCAATATAAAATAATAATATTGAATCATAATAGTCACATAACAATCAGCTTACTGTCTGTTCATTCAATAGAAAAATGAACTACTGGAATTACGCTGAAATTGTGTGTGTGTAAAATGTAATTGTTATTTATTATTGATTAATAATTGACAGACATTTTTAAATCACTTAATTAGATATAGTTTTTTTTTTTTTATTAATCAATTACTTGCATTTTGTTGAATGCAGCAGACAAGATTGCCTTGACCCAGAGAGAACAACCAGTATCATGTGAACCCTAGGATTACATGCAAGACTGGTTTTCTTATATCATTTTTCGTACTTTTCTTCTTTTTCTAAACTTTTGTGGTTTCTTCCTGAATTGTATTCAATTCAATTTTTTCCCTTATAAAAAAAAACATGAAACATTGAAAATTAATAGACTATCTACAATTTAAAAATAAAAATTTAATTAAAAATCTTCATATAATATGTTTACAATTATTATTATTATATTAACATAGTTTATATATAAATTTAAAAACATTTAAAAATGTTTTAATCTTTTTTTATTAATTAGAAAAAATTTGAAAATAAAATTCCCAATATTCGAATATCAAATAAATGAATAGATCTAATATTAACAAATAGTTATAATAATTGAAATATCGAATTCGAGGCTCTATTAAAAATTTAATATTCTAATGAGCCGTCTAAATTGATCCATAGATCATTCAAGAGAGAAAAAAAGTAGTGGGCTTATTATTTTAGAGATCAATATAACGTTTCTTGTGAGTCATTTAAAAATAACATTTCATCTTATTTCCATTTTTTAATTTTGAAATATTTCAAAAAACTCTCATTTCCTTTTTTTTTGTGTAACAATCAATTTTAAATAAAATCAATTTGAATAACTATTCTCCCGCAGAGAAATTTTTTATTCTAACTAAATATAGAATTTATATTTATGAATTCAATAAAACTATATTTGTTCTTATGTATATATAGAACTATAAATAGCTAATATTTATTTGTTTCAAAGAAAAAAAAAATTTTCTTTGTAACAAATAACATTTTATTTAACTTAATTAAATTTGTATTTGGTGGAAATAAAATTTAATATTGATTTTGAAGCAATTAAATATTTTCTTACCTCTGAGAGAAAATTTTTTTTTTTCATCATATGAAGAAAAAAAAATGAAATGAAAAATAATATTTCAATATTACGGATATAAAAGAAATTAATTTATCTATAAATTTTTATGAGATCAACATGGGCAACTCATCGAGGTCAGATATAAAAAGATACACACACCTTTTTAAATCGAGTGAAACCTTATTTGCAATAATGTGTGTAATCGGGTGGTGCTCTTTTGTGCTCCATTGATGGATCTCTTTAAATATTTAACAGTGACTCGCGTGTCTCAGCGTCTCGACATCTGCTTAACGGTATATTCTCTTTCGTAACGAAGGAAATGTTTCTGCTATTGTTCCTTTTCTTTCTACTGTTTTTTTTTATTTCCATATGTTTACGATTATGTGCGACCTTATCAGGAATTCATTTCCGATTTTAAGTGCGACCTCTATGCGGTATCCGGTTCTGTTGACGATTATTTTCTGTGGTGACGAATTGTAAAAAAGAATATCTCTTTTCTCTCTCTCTCTCTCTCTCTCTCTCTCTCTCTCTCTCTCTCTCTCTGTCTGCATTTCAGGAAGTCTTAGTAGAATATACATGTCTTAGAAAATGGAAAGTGTCCCGAAAACTTTGGCGCTCATTTACCGAAAGAGAAAACTGTATATAAAATAAACGCAGTACTTTGTTGAAAACTGGCGCGCGCTAATCAGAGAAAACTTTGTATTTATTTAAAGATGAATATTTTTAATACACTGTAAAACACTAGGTAATAATTTAATACCGACTTTAGGTACAAAATTGTCATTTGGTTATATATTTTGATACTTAAAATCGGTACTACTAGTGCAGAAATTTTGCCAGGGCCCAGATCGGGACCGGATCAGACTGCCCTATTAGGGAATGAAACGCCGCGCCTGATATGGCCCTGATTAGGAAATCCACCTTTTCTGGTGGAGCCTTGATTAGCCTTGATTTGGCCCTAATCAGGTGTGGCGTTTCATTCCCTACTAAGGCCCTTTTAGGGAATTTTCTACACGGAATATTTTAGTCCTTTTGTTTACAGTGTAAGAAGCATAATAATTTCGAAAAAAAACTACAAACATTATTTCATTATGTATAAATTATTGTTACATAGGATTTTTTCACAATTTTATTATCAATTATTATTACAATTTTTATAGGTACATACAATTATTTTTATTATCTGTACTGGAATGTTTTGTAAATTTTTGGTACAATCTAAAACAAATTATTATTAATTTAAAAATTTTTAAATAATTTATTTAATTATAAATAAATAATAAAAAAATATAAGATTATTTTTTTAATAACTTTTAATTAGAATTATTTATAATTAACTTCATTATTTTAAAATTTAAATAAATGTTAATATATAATTTTACATTTAAAAGTAAGGGAGAGTGGTGAGTTGTGCTCCACCTTAATATTTTTAAAATGGCAATTAATATGACAAATTTCAATTTTTGGTATATTATTTCTTGTTAAAAACTAACTTTTTAAGTGGTACCCGTTATTTTTGGAAGTATTTTTCGTGTCTTTCCAGATAGTGAGTTAAAAGAAGGAGGGCCCCTAAGGCCTATATTTCGCCCCCTTGGGATTTTAATTTAAATGGTTGAAAACTTTTTCTTATAGTAGAAAAAGTAATTTTTCATTGATTGTAGGTGAAAAGGGGGTGTTTTGGTCAAATTAACCCTTAGATATTAGGGTTTTTTTTCCAAAAGAGTGTCAAAAAAACATGCAAAAAACATTTTCCAAATGTTGAGCAATTGGCTTGAAAATCGTTGTTCGGGGGTTTTCGTGGTCGCTGATTACGAATCTGATGTTAGTTTTTCAAAATTCAAAATAGCGGATCCAATATGGCGGATGACTTTTTAAAAATCTAATATTATTGGCCTGAAAATTGTAACTCGGGGGTTTTCGGGGTCGCTGATTATGAATCCGACGTTAGTTTTTCAAAATTCAAAATGGCGGATCCAATATGGCGCATGACTTTTTGAAAATCTAATATTATTGGCCTAAAAATTGTTACTCGGAGGATTCATAATTATTAGCGACCACGAAAACCCCCGAGTAACGAGTTTCAGGCAAATCCAATGAATTTTTCGAAAATGTGTCAGCCATTTTGGATCCGCCATTTTGAATTTTGCAATGCCGTACAGTTACAGAAGCAAACTCTCTGTCGATTGTTGATGGAATAATCCGGATTTGTGCAGCTGACAGGTTTATTGTTCCATGTCACGTGGTCATCTTGAATTCTCTTAAACTGGCGTGCAGATCGTCGTGTCGTTTGCTTCTGGCACATGTGCCTCTTTTGCTTTTATTATTAGTTTTTTTTAATGACAAAGTGCTGTTAAATAATGAATCCGGTTAAAGTGAGAAATCTATTGCAAGTTGTAGTGTATGGATAAAGACACAATTTCATCGTTTATCGGTAAGTTATACTCCGTTACTAATGAACATAACGTCACCTTAAAAAATACAAAAGGTATATTAAATATTATTTAACAACAAATTTCAACTCAAAATAATTTTTTGGTTTCAGGTCAAAGAATTTGATTCAGAAGCTGCATGTTCCACAGATTTTAATGCAAATGAAACTGGTGATATGATCTACGGAAATCTGCTATCGATTATTTTAGAAGGAGAAGAAACTGAATAAATTATATTAGACGGATCAAAACTTTGGTAATACAACAAATTGTATTGCCGATTTAAAAATTTAGTTTTGTTATTTCAACTGTTCCATAACAATTTTCTTTGTTCATCAAACAATTCTGTTTGTTCACCAAACAATCCCATTTTAACCATTTTTTTTGTCCCAACAACAAATAGAACTGCTGGTTCTATATTGACAATCCGGAATTGTTGTGTGGACTTAATTTTTAGTAACCACAACAATTCTTTTTTCTCTTTTTTTTTGTCTCTTTATGTTTAAGTCATTTTCACTAATTCGTATAAAAATTGGATGTATTAATTATTCTATGACTATTTTGAAAATGTTGAAAATGGGGAGTTGTCCACTCTCCCCTATTAATCAAAAAAAAGATTAAAAGGATATCAATTTAGAGAATTTTTTGTATTTACTTAGCTGAAAGTGATTTGATATTTGAAGAGACGAAGAAAAAATGGATTACTTTTTTCAAACCACAATTTCTATATTAAGATTTATATTATTGCAAATTGTGTTCAATTTAAATCTTTAATCTTCCGAGAGCATAAAAACCATTTTAAAATATGTATGTAATATTCGTTTAACCTGGTAACCGAGATTGTTTTGACACCTAATTTTACTTCTTTTACGGTTGAGAATTGTAAATTTAACAGGAAAATATTTCCTATAGAAAGTTGTCAAATAAATATTTTATAGAATAGACTTTTAAAAGCGTATTCAATTGTATTAAAGGAATTATGTTGGAAGATGTTTTTTTTCATTTTTTAAAAAGTTACTTAAACAGTAAAATACATAATTACCGTACTTTGGATATAATATCTTCAATAAGTCATCTAATAACATACTTCAAAAATATTAATAAAATGTGAGGATTTTATTTTTATTATTATTATTATTTATTACTAACCATATCATAATTGCATTTATTTTTTTAATTACAATATCAAAGCCTGTTTTTTTTATAAAAAAGACAAGAAATACTATTTTATAAAAACTAAGAAATTAAAAATAAAACTCGATAAAATATTAAAAATACATTTTCTTATTCTTCTATTTAAATAGTTTTTATTCTTTATTATTATTTTAAGAAAATACATACGAACTACAATTTTGAATTTAAAATAAAAGGGTCTAATTAATTATATTCTTAAAAATATAGGTATTCTCGGATCTAACAAAATAAGGAATAACAATAAATATAATTTTTAATTAATTCTACTGACAATGTATCTATATGTACAGATTAATTCGTTTAATTACACTGCGAAATGTTTTTTTAATTAAAAAAGTATATATTTTTTATTTAAAAAAAATTAAATAAATAAATTAAAAAACTTTTATATCAATTTTTATTATAATTTAATTAAAATGAACATTTGATAACCTCTAAAACGGAATTAAAGATGTTTTATTGAAACAAACAATTTTCTTAGTAAAAATTCTAAAATTAATGATTTCATACGAGAAGAAAATAATTTAGATATCTTTTATAAACTAAACTTGTTCTACGGCGCTTTTTATAGAAAAACAATATAATAATTGTAACACAATTATCATCGTTAATATTATAAGAACAAGAGTTTATCAATTATTCAATAAGGCGAAACTGGAATGTGGTGAACGATTTTTATTTTTCACATTATATATATATATATAAGTTGAACTTTCTCTCATCGCAAACGCTTAGCAGGCTTACATAAGTCCACATCGCAACCGCGTCAATGAAATTCTGATCTTGACTTAGAATCAAGTTCATTGACAAATGTACATTTCAAGGCAAAGTACTTAATGTCAAAATACTTTTTTTTTTTGCTCGTATGTTCTCGGTTCGAGTTTATTTACATCATTTTTGAGAGAAATTGGTCCAAAACAAAAAAAAAATGTCCACAAAATATTGTAATGAATTATTTTTTCTCATAATGACAATTTAAAATGTTTACATAATTGTTTTAAATGTTTTACATAAAAAAAAACACAAAAAAGTTTAAAAACAGAAAAAAAACTTAAAACTCATTTTGTAAATTCATGTTCATCATATGCCAAAATTTATAATAATTTGAATTTTCTTTATCAAAAATGGCTTTTACTAAAAATGAAAAAAAAAATAAAAGAAAACATTGAAACCTTTTGACTGAAAACTATCATTTTCACCACTAATTCCAATTGTACAAGAATTTAAATATGCTTAGTGAAAGTGACTATTCCCACTGATATGAAAATTACAAGACTTTAAAAAGTCTTAGTGAAAGTGACTATTCTTGGTGATATGAAAATTACAAGAATTTTGAAAGTTGTCTGACAGAAACCGACTTTTACTACTGAAACTAAAAAAAAACAGAAATTTAAGGAAAAGGATAAGTTTGACTATAATTGAAATTTACCACTGTCCTGAAATTTTTATGAAATTAGCGAGTTTTATCTGACTAAAACTAACGTTTGCTACTGATATCACATATTAATAAGAATTTGGAACATTGTCTGATTAAAACCGATGTTTATTATTGTTATACAAAACTTACGAAATTTTAAACTGTTCTGGGGGTCAATTACATAACTTTTTCCGGATCCCATATTTCACATTCCGTATTCCGAATTCCACATTCCGGATTCTACTTTCGAAATTTCGAATTCTGAATTCTGTATCCCACATACCGGATTCCACTTTTTACATTCCGGATTCTACTTTTTAAATTCCGTATTCAGGATTCCACTTTTCCCATTCCGTATTTCAAATTCCAAATGCCGAATCCCACTTTTAAATTTCCGTATTTTACATTCCACACTCCGGATCTCACTTTTCGCATTCCGTATTCCGCATTCAACTTTTAAAATTCTATTTTCCGGATCCTATATTTCACATTCCGTATTCCATATCCGGCATTTTGAAAGTGGAATCCAAAATATGAAATACGGAATACAGAATGTAAAAAGTTTAATCCGGAATATTGGATTCAGAATGTAGAATCCGGAATGTAGGATCCGGAATACGGAATGTGAAATCCCGAATGGTGAATTTTGAAATTGGGATCCAGGATATGGAATCTAAAATACGGAATTTTAAAAGTGGGATCCGGAATGTGGAATACAGAATGTGGGATCTGGAAAAAGTTACGCAATTGACCCCCTGTATATGACTAAAATTACTTTTTCTTCTAACTCAAAAATTTTAAAAAATATGAAACTATACTCGCCAGACATAAATTACTTTTTACTACAGATTTTGAAAGATTTAAATTAAAAAAAATTATTTTTAGCCAAACTAGCCTACTGGCACAAAATTTTTTAAAAAAATTTGAAATCATATTGAAACAAATTATTTTTATATAATTATATATAGATTATAAGCTTAAAAGATCTGCAGATTTGTCTGACTAAAACGGACTTTTGTTACTAGCATACAATTTACCATAATTCAGAAAAAATAATTGACTTGAACAAAACTACACTGAGAAAAATATATTGTCTCAGCAACCAAAATTTGGTTGGGCAAAAAAAAACAATTTTTTTGGTATTCAAGTTCCACTAAATAATTAACTAAATGTAAAGACTTCGTTAATTTTTTTTTTTAATAATATGATTGTTTCAATTTAGAGAAAAATAATTTCTAAACATTAATAATTTTATCTTTACTTCTTATAATGAAACGAGAATTAATTTACTTTCGTCGTCGACGTTCTCTGTAATATCTGTAGGGCTCCTCATCTTCATAATGATCTCTAAAATCAGAGAAATCTTTTCTTCTGTATTTGGTTAGAGGAAGATGAACAACATCATTGTCACTTCGTTGATCCACTCGATTTTGAGCAACAGCTCTCAATCCTACAATTGCTGCTAGAATCAGGCTCATTAAACTCAAAACAACTGCTTTTCCACTTAAGACTGCCAAAAATTTTAATGCAATTGGTAGTAGAATGGACTTAATGAGAAGAAATCCAATAAGTAACGGTAAAACAAATTTGTTAAGCTTAAATTTTTTCTTCTTTCGACCTGAAAAAAAAACATTTTGAAATTTGTATTTTTTTATATTATTGACATAATATTAATAAAAATTAATAATGATTGGTGATAATTGATAATAATTGATAACAATAGATAATAAACATAACAATAATAATAATGTGTGAAATAATAGTAATTGTTAAATATGCTTCTTCCTTCCTGTTTTTATTTTGAGTATCAAATTAAAAAAAAAATAATATTCTAAAACCATCTGATAATTATTTATATTTTGAGAACATTTTTTTATTTTCTAATTTTTTTAATAAGTAAAGAAAGGAGATAAAATTTCTTTAACGACACTGTTTTTATGATTGACTACCAAAAATGATACTAGCTTTCGTAATGTTTGATTTTTGTGTTCTTAAAAAATTAAATAGTAGCTATATATAGCTCAGAGAAATGGGCTCAAGATTAATTAATTATCTTAAAACATTAAAAATCCATTAGAAAACAATTATTGTTTGTAGAATGGTAGAAATAAAATTCAACCAATTATTTCATTAAAATTAGTATCTACGCAGCTGTCATGAGTATCATATATAATTTTGAGAAATGTATGTCACAATGAAAGAGAAAAATGAATATTCGCGTACTGAAATTTGCTTATTTGAGTTTTGTTCCGCTCTCTCAAATCACCGAATCGAATTAAAAATGTAATAGTATATCAAGAATAATTTATAAGCGTCATATTATAAAGAATGTATTCCCATTTTAGACAACAAAAAAAAAAAAAAAATTTTATTTCAATTAGAATTTTATTTTTAAACATAAGAAAATGAAAATTAATAAATCATAATAATAAATAATTAAATAAAATAATATGATAAATAAAATAAAAAAAATAAAATAATATAAATGGGAAAAAATGATAAAATATAATAACTAAAGATTTATTTCTCATTTAGTGATTTTTTAATTACTACTAATTTATTGAATTAATTAAGAAATTAATTACATAAACACAGTTCTTTATTTTATTACATAAACTATAACTATAAATCTATAAACTATATTAAAATATAAGTTAATTATAAATATTAATGTATTAAATGAAGAAAATGAATAGAAAAAGTTTTTAAATTACAAAAATCAGGAAATGTATTGAGATAATTATTAAAAAAATTTATAGAGTAAGGATTTTCCCTTCCGGAATGTTTAATAAAAAGTTGAGAAAAATTTGATCCTTAGAAGGATATACATACATTTTTTATGTTATTTTGTTCTTTCCAAGGATCAGATTTTTCTCAACTTTTTATTAAAAAAATTGTTATGAAACTACTCCTTTTTAATTAGTTCTTACTAAGAAGTATTATTAATTATTTTGAAAAAAATATTCTTCATTTCTCGGTCAACAATACACTGAAAAAAAAATTATTTGATTCAAATAATCGGTTACTCTTGACTATTATTAAATAAATATTTATTTTTATTAAATAATTATTGAGTCAATGAAATGGTATCTGTTTCAAATACAAAAATTATTGATTCAAATACAGTTTATTTAATGCAAATAAAAATTATTTGGTTCAGGTAAATATTTATTTGATAATAATCAAATAACCAATTATTTGAATCAAATAAATTGTTTTTTCAGTGAAAACGAAATGATAATAAAATGAAAAATTCTAAAATTTATTAAAACAACAAAATTTAATTAAAACTTAAATATGCAAAAGAATTGAAATACGAGGAAAAAGAATAAAAAAACACTAAACATAGTTAATAAGTAGAGAAGAAAAAAATATTAATAAAAAAAAGAAAAAATAGATGAGCAACAGTATGATATACTTAAGAATGACCCCAGTGGAATGTATTCAGCTAAAGAAGAACTTCTGCCCCCAGTAAATAGCGAGAAAGATGTTTCTGCGGATAAAAATGAAATAAAAAAAAAAATCTCCTCCTTTTTTTCCAAATATGAAACACGTATTTGTTAAAAATACTTTCTTTTTCTTATTACCTTCAACACCATCGGAGGGTTGTTTATTTGGAATCAATGAATTGATTACATTGAGAATACTATCACTGACCCAATCCAATGCCGATGTTGTGGTATATGTTTGTTTAACAAAATTTGCAAGTGTTGATGATGGATGCGAGGAAGACGCATCGTCACCATGAATGAAAATTGGCAATAAAATCACCAACCACAAGCTACAGACAAAAATCATTGTTTACACATTTGTCGAATTTTTTTTTCTTTTGTAATCCAAGTTGATTGATCACGATCAGTTCATTCACACTAAAATGATTGTTTGATGGAAAATAAGAATAATTCACAATTCAAAATATTATCCAGTGATACGATCGCGAACTTTATGTCAACTGAGATGAATTCTGAGTGAGCCAATAGTTTATATAGAACATCCGTGAAAACCATCGGAGTAGAAGAGGACCTTCTATATATCTAACATGGTACTGACGCGTGACGAAAGATCCCTCTTGTTCATTCCATTTTTTTTTCTCTCTCTCTCTTGAAACTACGGCAATCATTGGCCGTGAGTACTCTCGAGAATTTACGCGAGATGAAATTTTATTGTAGGACGAACTACGTCTCTATGCTTGACTCCTTTTTTTTACCTCGTCGTGGGAGAGTGCAACAGCCATTATACTCAAGTTCGTTTCACACTTGATTAAATTCGATGGTACGAAATCAAGCACTCGTCATCAATAGCTTTTTGCGGAAGCCACTCTGCCGAGAAGTATATAATTAGTTGAAAACACACTTTGGGATGCATAATATTAATTTGACTTTTAGATCGTTGCATTGCAAGATACAAAAAAAACAAACAAGTGCATGCTCAAATAATTAAATTTAGTTTGAATAATTTTTATTATCATGTATATAATTTATGTAGTTAATTATCCTAGATTTCAAGTAACGAGGTGTTTTTTTAATTTTAATTTTATTTAAAAATTAAATTACCTAAATAAATTAAAATTTTTTTAAAAATTAAGACAGTTTTACTGTAGAAAAATCATATGAAATAAATAGATTAAAATTCTTCTGATTTTTTAAAAATTATAATCTACATTTAAATATTTTAATCAATTAATCTATAGGCAAAGTTAATCTCTTTGTAAAAATAAAAAATGTCGGATCTAATATGGCAGACATATTTTTCTAAATTCAGCGAATTTGCTTGAAACACGTTACTCGGGGGTTTGTGAGGTCGCTGATTACGAATCTAATGTTACTTTTTCAAAATTCAAAATGGCGGAACCAATATGGCGAATATATTTACCTACATTCGACGAATTTGCTTGAAACTCAAGAGAGTCCTCTACAAACAATGTATGGAGTACTACATAATTTTGAGTCGGAAAGAGCCAGGAATTATAATTGTAATAAAAAATTATTTATATATATATATGAGGCATTTCGGTAGTGATAGTGGTGCTAAATAAGTGTACAAATTTTGAATTTGAAATTTTTAATATTTTTCGAGATATTTACAATAACAGATTTGAGCAATATTTTTTTGCTTTACATATAACTTTTTTCTTATTAAAAATAGAGAAAAATGTTGTACATGTTTTTTACGCAGAAGATCTTAAACTTTTAGAAAATAGTTATTTATGATACAAGTGCGTAAAGTTAGTGATTATACGAGTGTGACCTTTGCAGCACGAGACGAAGCCGAGTGATGCAAATCACACGAGTATAATCAGATTTACGCACGTGTATCATACAACATTTTTTGCAACACCCACCTCTAAAGTTAAGTACCTATTATGAAGAATTCCAACTCTCTATTAGAATAATTTCGTTTGTATAGAATTAAAAAAATCAGTCGGAGATCAGGAAAAATATCATTAAGCAGGAGTGTATAATTTTAATAGTAAAGTTCGTTTTTTAATTTTGTGGTTTTGTATGGTCTAACAAATCCTTATATTATGTGAGAGAAATTTCGATGCGTAAAGTAAATTTCAGTGTGTAAAGTAATATTTCAGTGCGTAAAGTGAATCACTTTACACACCGTTTGAAAAAGAGCTTCTTTACACACACTTTTCGGTGTATAAAATTTAACTTTAGAGGTTAGTGTTGCAAAGAAATTATGGATATACTTCCGAAGTAGGGGTACCTCCGATTTTAATAAAACTTGGTATACTAACGTATTTTGGTGCGCTGATTACGAAAATGATAGTGAAAATTGGCGCAAATTTGATTATCATGGTAAAAACCATAAAAAACACCATAAAATAATGGTTTTTTACGATTATCTCGTAAAAAACAAAAAATTTCGAAAAAAGTTTTAGACAAAAGTTGTAGATCTCAAAAAAACACACATTTTATGTTTTATGCATTTTTTACCAAAAGTCATTATTTTTCGAGAAAAATCCAAAAAACGAAAAACACCATGATAATGAAAACATATACAGCAGTCATGGTTAGACATATTATTTGACTCGTATATAGTATGGGGTACCTTCGATCTTAATGAAACTTGATATACTAACGTATTTTGGTACGCTGATTACGAAAATGATAGTGAAAATTGGCGCAAATTTGATTATCATGGTAAAAACCATAAAAAACACCATAAAATCATGGTTTTTAACGATTATCTCGTAAAAAACAAAAAATTTCGAAAAAAGTTTTAGACAAAAGTTGTAGATCTCAAAAAAACACACATTTCATGTTTTATGCATTTTTTACCAAAAGTCATTATTTTTCGAGAAAAATGGTCCGAAAGTAATTTGCGGAAATTGTGGGGTGGAGTCTACAGCAGCGGTAAATGCAAATATTAAACACGGCCTTCGGCCGCGTAAGGTACTGCTCGCTTCTCTTTTTAAGAAATCTTGGCGAGAGGGGGTGGATGTGTCCGAAAGTAATTTGCGGAAATTGTGGGGTGGAGTCCACAGCAGCGGTAAACGCAAAATAGTAAACACGGCCTTCGGCCGCGTAAGGTACTGCTCGCTTTTCTTTTTAAAAAAAACCTTGGCGAGAGGGGGTGGATATGGCCGAAAGTATTTTGCGGAATTCGTTAGATTCTGACTAATGGTGAATATGATACTGTATACGAGTCAAATAATATGTCTAACCATGACTGCTGTATATGTTTTCATTATCATGGTGTTTTTCGTTTTTTGGATTTTTCTCGAAAAATAATGACTTTTGGTAAAAAATGCATAAAACATAAAATGTGTGTTTTTTTGAGATCTACAACTTTTGTCTAAAACTTTTTTCGAAATTTTTTGTTTTTTACGAGATAATCGTAAAAAACCATTATTTTATGGTGTTTTTTATGGTTTTTACCATGATAATCAAATTTGCGCCAATTTTCACTATCATTTTCGTAATCAGCGCACCAAAATACGTTAGTATACCAAGTTTTATTAAAATCGGAGGTACCCCTACTTCGGAAGTACACCCGAAATTATTTTTAAAAAAAAATATTAATTTTTAAACAATTTGTTTATAACTTTTAAACATATTCTCCCTCATTTAGAAGCGCGAAAAAAATCATGAATATTGTTTAAGTCATAATAAATCGATAGTTAAATTTTTGAGATGGCATTATTTTTTGTTTTCGTGATATTAATTAATTATCTAACAAAATTTAATAAAAAATGAAATATTTTACGAACAAATAAAATTAGAGTAATTTTAAAACCTCCATTAGAATGCTTATCAAAATCCGCTTCCAACGAGCTCTATATGAACTATTTTGGATAAACGGGTGTTAAATTAATAATTAATAATAAAAATTACTTAAATAATTAATAACATTTAAGGAAATGAAAATAAACCGTCAATTATTTTTTTTAAAGATCATCTAATTCTGCGTTAAATAAATGAGGGAGAACATGATTAAAAGTTATAAACAAATTGTTTAAAAATTAATATTTTTTTCTAAAAGTTTAAGATCTTCCGCATAAAAAACATGTACAACATTTTTCTCTATTTTTAACAAGAAAAAAGTTATAAGTCAAGCAAAAAAGTTTTGCTGAAATTTGTTATTGTAAATATCTCGAAAAATATTAAATATTTTAAATTCAAAATTTGTACACTTATTCTCATATGAAATGCCTCATATATGTATAATAAATATATATAGGGGAATATACTCTGAGTTGGACACTACTCAGGGTTGGACACTTCGCCTTTCTTAAAATAAGAACACTAGCGCCATCTATACACGGAAGTGGCGAAGCTTCTCGCAGTAAAACCTAACTTTTTGTGCCATTACATTTTTGGAGAATCAAAAGTAGCGTCTGCTGTGACGTCGGTGCATTTGTAGGAACGAAAAAAGTTTTGTGAGCGATGTGATTAAACATAAAAAATGAATAAAGAAAACAAGAAATCGATAAGGTAAGTTTATTGCAAGTATTGTGGGGTTCATGATTGAAGAAAAAATGAAGTGAAAAATCGAATCGCGAAACATATCTGGTTATGGTTAACACAATTCGAAAATATTACTTCTACTTAGAGTTGGACACTTTGTTAATTATGAATTTGCCATAATTTATAAATAAATATAAAAATAAACATTGACGCACACACACAGCACATATTCTGCCAAAGATATTAGAAAAATAATAATAACGTTATAAATGAAAAAATGATCTTAAAAAACCGATTTCAGTAACGTCATAAGTAATATTAATTGTCAATTATAAATAATAATAATGTAAAAATGAAAAAATAAACATAAATAACGTTTTCAATAACGTTATAAATGTTATTTTATTTTTTTACCCATAATTCTCTTCGATTTTCATAGTGTCCAACGCTGAGTACAATGTCCAATCCTGACGAGATTTTTTTTATTTTTAAATGATCAAAACTTTTTTTATCTTTTGCACATCTTTATAACAATATAACTCAATTGACTAGATTTAATTTAAAAATAAAGATTATAAACAATGTCCAAAACGGTGTAATAAATTAACAATTAATATAAAAATATATTAAGTTTATTAAATTATTGATTATATTATGTAATACATAGTTATTTTATTATATTTATATTATTATTAATAATGTTAATTAATTAATTAATATTAATATTACACTAGTTGAAATCGTGGAAAACATTGAAAAATAGTTCTGTTTCATATAGTCAGTATTGCTTAGATCTAAAATTGTAGCACCTCTGTAACCTTTGTTTACATGATTCTGTAATAAAATTTTTTAATTTATTTATTTTGTTTCGTATTTTTTTAGTAAATAAATTATTAATATCCTATAAATAATATAAAAAAAGAAAAATATTTTTTTAATTTTAAATTTTCCTCAAATTTGTAATTTTTTTAAAATAAATTTTTTGACAAAATATTAATAAACTATGGTACATGACAACGGATCCTTATACTATTTTTGAGTTATTCTCCACAAAATTTTAGCTCAATCTATCAAAAATAATTTGCGAGAAAACCTGCGGAGAATATTTACATGTGAAATCACAACATTAATCACATAACTTTAACAGCTCATGTTATTGTTAGGTCATCAATGTTAATTTTGTCGGGAACTTTACTTTTAAAATATTGAATAGATTGATCTTAATTTTTATGGAGTTGTCTAAAATATGATTAGAAATGGCTCTTATATGCGAAAATTGTAAACATGTTATTTTCATATTAATAGTTTTCTTAATTTTTTTTTACTTACCGAGTTTTAAATTTTCTTCTCTTTCATTAAATAAATTAGCTTTCACACTATTACAGATTAAATATAAATTGATACAAATAAAAAGAAGAATTAAAGCATGCATTTTTTTCAAAGAAAAAGAAAATTGATTTAAAATATAAAAGTCGAAAATTTTTTTGATCACAAAAATAAAGAGTAATCTTTTCTAAACGATAAAAAAATATTTTTTTCAAATTTCATGCGCCTTTTATACGAGATGGAAGATTGAATTATTTTTATTTCATAATATATACAGCTCATTATTACAAAAAAAAATTATTTAAGAGCAATAAATTTTGTAAAAAATTAATGTATATAGTAATATAGATTAGAGTTCTAGATACATATAAAAACGAAATAAATTTTTACACATCAATTGAGATATGTCTCTGATAACAGCAAAATAAATTTTTAGTGAATGTCACTTCAAGGTTTTACGTTAAATACTTATCAAAAACGGACATTCCACACGTGGAAAGATTCTATGGAAATTCTATAGGGTAGTTTTACAGGAGATCCCACAAGAATTTTTACACCTAGAGAAATGATTCATTTGAATCAAATAAAATATATTTGAGTTAAATAAACTTATATTTGTCTCAGCACCAACTAGACTTTTCATTTGTTTTAAATAAAAATTTTATTAAATATAAATAAAATATATAACTTCTAAAGTACTGAAGATAAACACTTAATTCTTTTTTTAAATTATAAATTTAAATTTATTTATTTTTTAAATTTTAAAAAATTTCAGATATTAAAAATATTTGTTTTGGAATTTGATTCTGTATTATTTCATAACCTTTTTATTAATATTTCATATGGTTTAATAAGGTGACTCAATTAGATTGCTAAATTATTCAAGTTAATCTAATAATAAGACAAACAGTTGTAAAATTTAACTTTAAAATCATGTAATTATCAAATTCAATATATAACTGTCACCTTTTGAGGACTGATTGTACTATTAATTGAAATTAAAATCTGGAAATTTAATTCACATTTTTTAACATTAAATTATAATGAGAACTAAAAATAGGTATGTATTATCACAACAAAATAAACTACATTAACATGTATTTTCTAATTAAAGTTTATTCAGTACGGAAATATAGTATGTTTTTTTCAATTTTCCAAAAATCAGTATTTCAGTTTTGTCAAATTAGAGATTTTTTTGTAATCATTCATGACAATAAAAAGAATAACATTTCAATTACATTTTCTAGAATATTTTTGTATTAATTAAATGTAACAATTTTTTTCAAAACTTAACAATTTTAAGTTTGCTATTTTTTATTTCTTTAATCCAACTTCCCCAGATAGCACAGAAACTTGCAGCAAGCTTGCGGCAAGTTCACCGTGCAAGCTTGCCAAGCTTGTCTGAGCTAGCGAAATGTCCCACCCAGGGCAAGCTTGCCGTGAAAGCTTGCTGTAAGCTTTCCAGGAAAGGTTGCGGCAATCTTGCCATGAAAGATTTCTACAAGATTGCTGCAAGCATACTAAGAATGATTGCGGCAAGCTTGCCGTGAAAGATTGCTGTAAGCTTGCTACGTAAGGTTGCAGGAGAATTTCAACAAGCTTCTGGAAAGGTTGCTGCAAGGTTGCTGCAATTTTTAAAAAATACATTTTAAATTTTAAAAAAATTTATTTGTTTTTTTTAAATTTGAAAATCCTTGTGACGTTTATTATTATTAATTATGTCCTGTTTACTTTCATTTAGAAACTTAACGAGAAAATTTTCGAAACAAGTTTGAGGGGACTGGGAATTGAACCCGGGTTCGACAGACACTAACCAAAGACCTTACCTTACGTAGCAAGCTTACAGCAATCTTTCACGGCAAGCTTGCCGCAATCATTCTTAGTATGCTTGCAGCAATCTTGTAGAAATCTTTCATGGCAAGATTGCAGCAACCTTTCCTGGAAAGCTTACAGCAAGCTTTCACGGCTAGCTTGCCCTGGGTGGGACATTTCGCTAGCTCAGACAAGCTTGCAGCAAGCTTGCCGCAAGTTTCCGTGCTATCTGGGTAATGTTCGTGAATTTTTTCAAACGTTAATAAATGTCTTCAAAATAGTAAACCATTTCTCCAAATTTGTCGTGAAACAAATTATAACGGTAAAAGTGCGACAATTCGGAAAATAAACACAAAAGTTGACAATGATCTTGAAGAGTTGAAAACCACGCGAATATTTCACAGTTGATCTCATCCTTTAATTCCGGCTGATTACACTACGATTGCAAGAGAATGTCATAATCAAGTGTCTCGGTCAGTGACTTTCATTCTTAAGGAATTGTTGGCAGAGAAAAAAAAGTGATCAATTTTTTTTTTCTTTTGATCAAAGTTGATGCCATCAAATCAGACTCGATAAATACGATCTTTTCTCGTTATTATGTTTACAGTTTATGTAATTGATTATTGATTATATTTTAAGACACATTTTCCCAGAACTTAATATATTTATACAGTGTCTTTATACATGCGGATATAATAAATATGAATTAGAAAAAATTTGTCCATTGAGAAAAGAAAACAATTGAAATACTTTGAAAATAGACTTTTTTATTCACATCAGAGAAAAGTGGAAAGCAATCATTGAAGAATTCGTATTAACACTTTATAAAATATCTTCTTTCCTAGGAACCATTGAAATAATCGACATACCAACTACATTTCAGAGAATGCATTAAAAAAAATTGAGATCATATCCTAGTTACAAACTGGACAAAGAAGATCAATTTTCTTCTTTTAAATACAGAGGAAAATTGTCTTTAATTGCAAGATGATTTTATAATTTCACTTTTACTTTGAAGAACTTGCATATAATTTAAGTTTAATGGGACAGTTCAAAGGAATTATATACCAAGTTTGAGTTTATCTTAAGTTTTTCTTATGAGTGAACAAAAATTACAGTTTTTAGAATAATCGCAGTCTATCACTTCTGTTTTTAATTGTATTAATTTCTTGTGGGTCTAACGATTAAAAAAATAAGAACATTACACCTTTTTTCTAGAATTATGTCTGATTACATTATCTATAATTTTATAAACCAACAACTTAACAATTTAAATTAATTTCTTCTATTTAAGTTTATTTTTTATAATTTGTTTTTAATTTATATTAATTTAAATTTATTACTAATTATTTACAATATTCTAACTTTATCAAGTGATAAGTACTATTGTCAGACGTTATCTAACGAATTGCCAATTGAGAAATGTAGTAAAACAGTGTTTAAACGTATAATTACATTAAAGCTTGAGAAACCAAAGACCAAGAATCGTGATTAGATAATTATATTATTTTTAAGAATATAAATCGGTTGACTGGCCAGAGCCGAAACAAAGAAAACGGTAACCGCATAGAAAACCGTAATGATGAGACATTGACTTAACAGGCGTAACGAGCTAACTATTTCTTAGCGTGTAATTTCATTTTAAGAATATTTCATTTTTGGTAATAATATAATCAAGAATATAAATTAATAACAGGAAGCAGCGATCAAAATTGGTAAAATATTAGCCGAATATGTTAGTATGATTTCAAAAATTTGACTCTATTTTTTCAAAACGAATTAGATTTTAAAATATCGGGGCTTTACTGTATTTGTAAATAATATAAAAACCAGTTATTAAAGGTTTTAGAGGTTTTATTGCATTTTCAAAGAAAAAGATAATTTATTGAATGTTTACTGTATTATTATCACCTCAATAATTGAAGAGTTATACTGAATTTCTAAACAAAAAGATCAGTTTTGGAGGGCTTAATGTATTTAAAACCACTAAGATTATTTATTGAATTTTCACTGTATATTTTCCAACAGAATATATTCTACAAAAAATAATTTTCAACAAAGAACTGCAAATAATTTGAATGAAACAAATTTTTGTGACTTCAACAAAGTGTGACGCACTTTTAAAAAGTCATTTTTTTAAAGCCTAAAAAGTTACTCTTCAATTTCAAATAAAATAAGATTGACCTACCGAAGACTGGCAATATATTATCCATTTAAAGAGTATCGAGTTGTAAACTTGATGCTGCATATAATTCTTCCGCTTCATTCCGATTAAGGTGCTCCAAGCACATTGAAGAATTCATGGTGTTATGTAAATGATATACGACAGTCGTAAATAAAGTTCGAAAGATCACTTTTATACGTAAACCGTCTGCAGCATTCATACAGAAATTGATTGAGTACTATTGCATTTTGGTACCGCAAGAATGAGATCTTTTTTTACTTTCTTCTTTTTCGTTTTCTTCATTTTAACTTCTTGTACTTTATTCGAAATTGATGCCAACACAGCACATTATATTTCCTAAACATTTCATGAATATTTCATTGAAAGATTTGAAATATTTCAATGCAAGGTTCATGAAATGTTGAGTAAAACAGGAAAATGTCCGCCTATAAGAAATATTGCTGTGCAATTTTGCTGAAATATTACACTTTCATACTCCTGCAATATTACACATGAAGACTCTGCAATATTCAGAAAACATTTCAAAACAAGTTGTAAATTCAGATGTTCATTACATGAACATTTTGCTTCCTCTTTACGATCAGCAAAAAAATTTGCTTCCTCGTGGAGAAAGCAAAATTTTATTGCCAAAATGTCAATTTTTGATTTTTTAACTTTCATTAATTCTTTAAATTGACTTCAAATGTATACTTTATATATATCGATCGATTCGTCTTGACGTAAGGAATACAATTATTTCATATATAAACTTCAATTTAAAAAATCACAAAATTTTATAGACTAAATGTGAAATTTTGATTTTTTTACTTTCATTAATTCTTTAAATTTACCTTAAATGTATACTTTATATATATCGATCGATTCGTCTTGACGTAAGGAAAACGATTTTATTATATATAACCTTAAATTTTTCTATTTAAAAATTTTTTCGATTAAAACAAAATTTTTGGAAAAAAGATGATAAAATTTTTTTTTTGGGATATTTTTCAAAATCCTTTGGTTAGATTTGAGATATTAATATGATAAATGAGCCTACCAAATTTTATCTAAATCCATTAAAACCTGTTAAAGTTATCTTCTAAACAAAAAAGGGATCCACATACACACACACACACACACACACATACATACATCCGGACAATTGATCAGGATCTCATATAACATGTTTCTATAAAGAAAAAAATTTGTTTCCGCCACTTTGAAAAGTTTTATAAATGAAAGGAC